TTATCTGTAACAATACATTGAACAGTTTATGTGTTGTATATGGTAATCTGGTGTTTATCTGTAACAATACATTGAACAGTTTATGTGTTGTATATGGTAATCTGGTGTTTATCTGTAACTGTGTTGAACAATTTGTGTGTTGTATATATTAATTTGGTATTTATTGGTAACAATACGTTGAACAATTTGTGTGTTGTATATAGTAATCTGGTGTTTATCGGTAACAATATGTTGAACAATTTGTGTGTTGTATATGGTAATCTGGTGTTTATCTGTAACTGTGTTGAACAATTTGTGTGTTGTATATATATTAATCTGGTATTTATTGGTAACAATACGTTGAACAGTTTGTGTGTTGTATATAGTAACCTGGTGTTTATCGGTAACAATATGTTTAACAGTTTGTGTGTTGTACGTAATAATCTGGTGTTTATCATTAACAATTTATGTGTTGTTTATCTTCTCGTGAGATTCGTACCTCGAGATGTACATGTTTACTGATCGATGCCACAGGACTAAACGTGATGTTGCGTGATTTCAAAATAGGAATATATCCTTTCGGTGTACAGTACTACGTTTGTTATTTGCTTGTGGTATAGGTCACCTTTCCGAGCACGTGATATACGTTGGTAAAGCACACGCTCGCTGTTCGAGATTTTCGGTCAGAAATATTTGGAAGTTTCTTTAGCGAAAGTAGTAATTGACGTCTTCAGTCTAGGATAACTTAGAAATCATTTTAATTTGATTTTGTTTCCGTTGGGAAGCGAATTTAATTTCCTGTCTAAGCATTCAACGGGTGGTTTTAGTTTCATAAATTAAGAGCTGGTAGATGTGAAAGTGGCTCCCTCTCTCTCGTTTCTCAAAACCGCGTCTTTTGGTCTTTTATTTCTAGTAATTCTTGAAGAACCGAAAATTATTCTAATTTTTTAATCGAGTAATTTGTGACATGTCTGAGATTCTTACTGCCCACAGATCAGAAAAGGCAGCTACCAATCCTGTTCAGTATGGTAAAGTTAAGTACTTCTGCCGCCAGAGGGGGCATGGGTTCATTACGCCCGATGATGGATCAGATGATATCTTCTTCCATATTTCGGAGTAAGTTTTATGTGAATCTTTTATCATTTTAATCATTTTTTTTCCTTTTCTTAATGCGCTACACATTAAACTTTGTAATTTCAACAAAAACTGTCACCGATAAATAAAGACTTACGAATATTGTTAAATGTTATTGTAATTTCCTATACATCGGATGAGGTAAGCTGATGATGTTTTCTTTGAGATTTTAACTTTGCCCTTGAGAAACAATGATTTCACACCGCATCAAAATCTAACCATCATCCACTTCACCACTGAAGATGTAGAAGAGGTCTCCATAATTTGTTTTGAATATTCACATCATTAGGAAGTTAACTGGATTTGAAACTGAAGATAACGTGTAGACTAGACATCTGTAAACTGAAGATAACGTGTAGACTAGACATCTGTAAACTGAAGATAACGTGTAGACTAGGCATCTGTCAACTGAAGATAACGTGTAGACCTGTAAACTGAAGATAACGTGTAGACTAGACATCTGTAAACTGGAGATAACGTGTAGACCCGTAAACTGAAGATAACGTGTAGACCTGTAAACTGAAGATAACGTGTAGACAAGACATCTGTACGTTATCCACACACAAAAATTGGACCCTTAAAATGTAAAATTCAAGTTGCACATAAGAAACTTAACAAAGAAACCACAAGACATTCAATCCAACAAGAAACCATAAAACTTTATCACAACTAATAATCCTTTTATGAAACGTGTCAGTGACAACTTTGCCGGAATATAGAAATAAACGTCTCATCCAATAGTACAACATTAGCACCAGTATGAGTCTTAAAAAAACCATTAACATCAACTCGTTAATCGTATAAAAATCAGGATTGAAAATAAAGAACTTAGTTGGAAAAAAATTTTCGAAATGAAATAACGCCAAAGAAATAAAATCACATGAAGGTCAAACTTGAAGGGAATAGAACACAAAGGGACTGTCCCATATCCTTGAACATTAAAAAAAAAAACACACCTTCACCCCCTAGTGGTTCAACGGTATGACTGCTGACTTTTAACGCTAAAAACCGAGTTTCGATACTCGAGGTGAGCACAGCACAGATAGCCCATTGTGTAGCTTTGCTCTTAACTACAAACAAACGTTTCTAAAAACAGCGTTATAATTGTACAAAGTGAAACTGATATACGCATAAGAAAAATCACCGAAGTGTTTACTGGTCAGAACATTAAAACCTTTGTATAAAATATCCCGAAACACCTCTCGATCTCAATAAATTATACAACATATATAATCCCACAACCCATTTTTATGAATTATTTGTAAGTAAATTATTGCCACCTACGTTAAACACCATAATTCAGTATGCGCAATGCCATGATAACCGTTACACTTTACGTACCAGTTTTAATATCTTGAAAGCAATATCATTTCCACTTATCATACACACATGCGCAGTAGTTAACTTCAAGTCTTGTGGATTTGTTAAACGTTATTATTTCAAGCGCGCCTTATTCACATTACCCATTCAAGCCGTCTCCAGCCATTATTAGTCTCAAAGTGGGTTCCTCGTCATCGAATTTGAATTATTCACACTTGGAGACAAGGTTTTACCTGAGTGTAAAAGGTTGTGTTGAGTGACTGTTGTGTTTCTGACACCATCGTTAACTTCGCGTTTATTAAATATAGAAGCATTGTTAACGACTGCTCGGGTCTCGGGATTAGTTTTGTGTAAAACGTTTATTTTAAACTACAATTAAATATATACATTAAGAATTTTATGCCTAAAACTTTTATGTTAAATTATCTGTTAAGTTATATAATGCTTTAGAGATGCTTAGCACGAACGGGAGGCCATTTTACAAGTAGTAACAACTTTATTTTGTTTTTTTTATGAATAATTGCATTTTTTTTTCAGCATCGAAGGAGAATATGCGCCACGCCACGGCGATGACGTAACTTACAAACTGTGCCATATTCCTCCAAAGATGGAGAAGCTTCAAGCTATCCATGTGGTTATTACTCACCTCGGACCCGGGACTCACGAGCGGTGGGACCAACCTCCATCTCCACAAGACTCTGACCAGGCTTTTCTTCACGTTACGCAGTAGTTGATGGAGATGGCGTTGTAACTGATATGTTAGTTAGTTGGAATCGGGGTCTGCTTCAGTTCAAGTTCAAGCTGGTGCCAACGTTAGCACAAATTAATATTCGCGACATAAAATCATTTTTGTGAAAACATTCGTTTGGCGGTAGCTTTTTTTGTTTTTTGCACTGTTCTGTTACAAAGATCATGGTTTTTACATTTGGCGATTAAAGCTATTTATTCGTATACATAAGGAAAATAGAGAGAAAATAATGAAGTGACACTTTTTTTTTTTGGTCGTATCTAAGCCTACAACTACAAGACATAAATCTGGTATACTCCAGACTTTCTTCTTTGTTCGATGTAGGAAACATTTTTATTTTCATAAGCTGAAAAGAGACTAAGTACACCATTACAAAATCCAAAAATGAATCTTCCAAAGCGGAATTCTACATTATAATTAGCGAACTAAATAAATAACTTACGGAAAATTCGGTCCAAATTAGTCAAATTGTATCGTTTAAAGGCTACGTATAAAATTCGTTAAATTGGGTGGCACGAGACTAGTTGGAAGAGCTCGTTGTTTTGGCATTGTTCCAACATTTCTCGCGTGTTTTTGTTTTTGTTTTGGCATTGTTCCAACATTTCTCTCACGTTTTTTTTTCTTTATCTCTCTGACTCTGTAGACGAAACAGATATTTAAAAACCTGTTCAATCCAAATAGTTAATAGACAAATTTAGACTGTATACTTAAAAAAATCAGAAGTACTATAAGCTTGATATTTCAGTAAATATAAACTCTTGTATAGCTGATAAACTCTTGAATTTTTAAAGTTGTGTCAATGATTATGAAAACATTGCATTCGTGCCGCCCAAAGTTTTTTTAAAATTGAATTAAGAAGTATTTTGAAATATTTTAAAATAATGAAAGATTCCGACCAAGCCAGTATCTTCCACAAATAGAACACAACGGTTTGGTTATTATCGTCTGGCCGTACACTATTTTTCTATTAAATTAAACACTGTGACCTTGAAAGAGTATCGCTCTACAATGTGTAGTGTGTAAAAATACTCGAACGAGGATAAGTTGGAATACGTGGTGCGTCTGTTCAGTATGATAATAATATTAGTCATGTTCTTCAGATAAGAACCTGAACAACTGATACTTTAATTAATGATGTGATCTACAAGTTAAAACAGTTGTTCTTTGTCACCTCCAGCGGTTTATTAAGTGAGGCTCCCACATTTGGGCAAATTTTCCCCATGATGTTTGGCTAAGTTTCAGTTTCGTTACGAAATTCTGGCGCATAAAGCCTCCC